AAAAAGTTTCCAAAGCTCCGCGCTTTCAAAGCACAATTGCACTGTTCGTTTGTTAAAATTCATTTCAGAACTCAAAATGATGTCAGATCATTGGTAAAGTTCTGGAGCCGACCTTCCTCGCCTGCAAACGAAAGCGCCGTAACGACTTCAGTATTTTCAGTAATGTTATGAAATAGATATGGTGCGCGCCACGATACTTACACCAGTAGGCTTGTCGACCTTTAACGCAAACAAAGTTGAAAAGCGCGCTCAAATTTCGCTTCGCGAGCGCTTCTGATCCTACATGCGTTTCTTTGCAGAGATAATACCCATACTTAGAGCTGGTCAAATCCGTGCTTTCTCCAGCGACTGTTCCTCCCCTGGTACTGAATAGTGGCAAAAATGACGAAGAGCACATGGTTCAATTTGTGCACTCAGTGAGAATGCGCGTAGCTTACCCATCTAATGGCTTTGTATGTCTTTCCCGGTAAAATAAGAGTCAGAATGGAAAATCTTTTGATGCTTGACTTTGCGAATCACAAAGCACGACGTTAATGGCGAGGTGGGGGGTTTTCACCATTATTAAATGCTGTCATCAGCTACCCCGTTTCCATGAGTCTGCTAATTTCGCAACCGCCCGAGTCTAAAAATCGGAACGCGGCCAAGCCTCACTAAATCGTGATAAGTGCGCTGGGCTGGATGCCCCTGTCACCTCTCAGAAAGATGACGAGAGAGGGTGCGACAAGTCGTCAGCGGCAACTTTTTAAGTGTAATCTTGTCAATATGAGCGTCTAACAATCCTGAGTTTGAAGCAAGGCTACCACTTCTACATTAACCAATACTCACCGTCGACCGACATGGCATTGGGTCAACCCTTTCTCATTGAACAGTGCTGGTGAATGACGAGCCATCCGCGGCTATTTCTTGAGCTATATTGGCAATGGCGACACATTAACTCGATTATTCGACGTTTCTTGATACTGAGGTAACGCGTAAGTTGTATACTTTCAAACAACGCTATCGTACTGAGTGGCTTAAATCACCCCCCGATACCGAACAGCAGAAGGTATTTCGGTCACGGGCAAAGGTAACAACATTACGTCATGAGGTGCTACGACACATGTTATTATTACTTAAATACAACAAGCTTCGGAACAAGTAATGATACCACAAGCGTGCAAGCGTGCCACGTAACGTATCGTCAAAGAAGCATATAAGTCATAAACGTTTCGCTTTCAAAAGATAAGCAAATTTATACATTTCGCGTTTGGCCATTCGCTGTACTGATCTCGTCATCAGTACGCGATGTCACTATCGGGACATGCGTCAGCTCAGTTATAGCAGCGTCGTTACACATTAAGTTACCCGGCGCAAATCTATCTTAAATGTATATTCGGCAAGTATGGATAATCGACGCGCCGTTGTCCGGCTCGCAGTGTAGGAGGGATATCACTTTCGCTTAAGCGCCATTAATTCACACTGGTAAGGCCAAGAAATGTAGCTGATCGTGCTGCACTACAGTGTATTCACTTTAAGAATCGGCGTGTGCGCTGGAACAGTGGCTACAACAAGCTTATGGTAAGCATGTGCATATTCGCCACGAGCTGTTTGCCGTTTTGACGCGGAAAGTTGGTGACATGTCGGAAAGGTCCCATTTACTAACCAAACTCTATTGATCTTTTAGGTGAAATTAAGGCCATTGGCCCTGATATTGTATCTGATTCTACGAATACGATCAATTTCATGATTCATTTTGCGATCAAAGGGCAACATCTACCGAGTCTCCCACCCCCATGTCATGATATTCATTCAGCGTCGACTTGAATAGCTTCACACGAGTTTTAAGGATAATGATTCCCTCCTCGTGGATGTACTCTGCGTTTGTCCTCACAGGCGGACATGAATTCTGCACCGCATACGGAACCAGACGTACTCGTTCGACGACTTCATTGTCTTGTAACTCGTTGAAAACATTCCATGAGTAATAAGGCTTCTGCCGGAGATAATCAGAGTGACCTTACAACCCCATGGACAAATGCGAACATCATTTGATCAACCGTTTTGCCACACCCGTGAGATCTTACTGCTCTAAATGGTGGTCGTCTGATACGATAGTGCTGACAGTGCAGAAATATCACATACTTCCAATACTCGGTCGCCATAAATTACTTTAAGGCTTACCCTTCAGCTTGCGCCTTACCTTTAAACGTTTCCGCCGGATACCGCCCCATATAGTTTCTTTTTTTGCTGTGACCAGACCTGGCACAAGATACTGCAGCTCACAACTGGTTGAGCTTATTGTCACCGAATCATGCCGCGCTGAAGCGCCTCTGCATCATGGCAGAAGTAAGTACATAGCCATCAAAGCTGCAACCAGCATTAAGTACGTTGCTAGAAATATATCGATCCTTTAGTCGATCCATGCCATATCTTAAAGAGATCGTTCGCCTGATTCAGGTTTACGACAGTCAACATCCACGCGATTAAATTAATTGAATTTATAAGCAAGGTCAAAAAGAACTATAGCTCTTGACTTGAGTATTTATCGCAAGACGCACGGTGTTGTATTTTTTCAATGTTCCCGCATTCTGTTCGAAAGTTTGTCATTCGTGCGTCGAACCTAATTGCAAGACAAACGCAAAAATATTTTAGCTTTTTTGGCATCAAAAATCCAAAGGCGTTTATTTGACAACTAACAATCCTAGGTTGTGGGACCCATCTTTCCTTTACCACGACTGAGTGTCATCGACCTTGACCTCTACGAGGTGCAAAAACATCTGTGTTTTGCAAGAGGATAGTCGGACGACCTTTTTAAAAGCCCGACCCATCGTCAGCCAAAAAGAACGGAGGCACACAGACCGCAGATGTTTATGATCCCACGAATGAAACATCTGCAAGTGTCATTGTGCCGCACGGCAGCCAACAAGTACATTTATGAATCCTCATCATGACTGGGATACATCGCCTTCGGCGCGCTCAGAGAGATATCACCATCCTTACATAGCCGGTCCTCACGGCACGGACGCTGTACTCTGCAAGTAATACGATTCCGCCCTTTTTTGAGAAAGGTTAAGTGAACGCGGAAGGTCTTAGTCCGAGCTGAACCTGTTGCAAAACCTTCCATGTATAATTTAAATGTAATAACCACACAGAGAGTGTCTACCGCCGACGCTTCGGTCATGTTTGGACAAATATCAACGACCCTCGTCTCCCTTGTAGGGCGGACAAGATCGTACATGGTACTCCTCGCTAGGTGGTGCCAGCAACCGCGACTTCTTTTGTGTCGAAACTTCTGTTGCTAGGAAGGTATTGCATATTAATGCTCATCCTCACTTGCATTTTCCAAGTGTATCGCGTGTATAAAGCACTGTAGCTTTGTCTGGAGCATGGCCAAATTTGCTGCCATAATTTTTTTTCTCTACCAAGAAGAAAACAATCACCGGATGGCTGATGCATACAAATAGCCGTTTTGCGATCAAATCGTAGTTTGGTACCACAGAAGCCTGATTGTGGCGTTCCTGAGGATGTCGTTTAGTGCAACTTTAAAGTTGGCGAGCACCTTCAGGCGAGCGATTACCGCTTGCATACCAAATACCTGATTCCCTTAGGACTACCTCAAGACACGATATGCTTATTGTGTCTAGTTGTTCCGGAAGCAGACATCCAAATAATTCACGCTCCACCTTACAGAAGATAAAGTCGATAAAGACTCGGTCGACAAGTTTTGATCGACTACCAAGCTTAAAAAATTGCCGTGCATCTAAACAGAGAGATCTTTGACTCAATCAGTCGACCTCAACAAACGGACAGTGGATGGCTTCGTACGCTTCACCTAGGAGCGGCACGAGGGCCTCTTGTATTATTAGTTACTTAGTTTGCTTTTCTATTTGAACAGAAGAATATATTATAGTTTACCCTTGATTAAACTAGTGGGGATTATATCTGTTCAACTATCTCAAATCGAAAAATCGTTGCGTAACGTAATGCGAAGCTAGCTGGCCATGTGACCCACAAAACTTTTATTTTCAAGCTAAAGTCCCATTTACCTTCGACCAGTATTTGTCGTGATATGTTATTTTCTTACCGTACTTTGATTTACATTTCTGAGTCTGACTTCAAGTCTGTGGAACTGTGTAGGCACACCACAACAGGGAACACACGCTGATTCGTTCTTACAGCTATAACAGAAATTCCTCATTCTCCTCGACGAACAGGTACATATCGTCTGCCACAAAGGCGACGCCTATCTTTTTCCTTCCTCTTGATGAAGCAGGAAGCTTCTAACGCAGTGGATGCACGTAGAACTTCCACCGAAGGTGCACATTTTAGAAAAAGATCTGTTTTTCTGCCCCAGTGGGGTTTCATTGTGGTTATGGAGAGTATCACTTTGTACGTACGCCATAAAGGCACAGCTATCCACGGGCTTAAAGCAAATCTCTGGTTAAGTTTTGAGATGTAAAATCAGAATTGATGCTTGAGTGATTGTAAGAGGGTTACACATACCCTTGTATGAAAGGGCGGGTCGCACAAGATGGTGTGACCGTGCATAGGTGTGGTTACACAAGTTAGTGTCATCACAACAATGATGTGGCTACACCGTAACCTACGTGGCAGGATTGCCAGTAGTGATGCATATTAATTAGGTTTAACTATATTAAATAGGTATTATGATATCAATCAGAAAAATCTAGGGTTTTAGACATTGGCGGGAACTAAAACAACTAAATACAGATTCAATTTTGAATCTGTATTTAATTTTTAAGGTTTTGAGTACTCTTGGAGGCGACTGCACTCGTACTGGTTTTTATCAAAAACGTAAGCTCGGTGATCTTAGCTTAGCTTCCTCTAAGCTACGGCAGCCCCGCTGCTTTGATCATACTTCAAAAAAAGGACTCGCGCAATGCTCTCTCTATACATATATCGTAAGTAATATGGATAGCAATACAGATATGAATATTGGTACCACTTTTTGCCAGCTTTATCTTTTACGAACACAAATTGAAGCATTTCGATTCGAAATTCTAGGGAGAACCAGTAAATGCTCGGCGCTTCGGAACCGCCTTTTTAGCGCTGACCATAGCCCAAGCTTTCTCTATGCAAGACACACAGCAATATCGTTTATTCACACATGATAAGAGACGGCTATGTGTATGCCACCCTTCACTTCTTGCACTATCGCCAAAGCACAAAATTCGAAATCTTCGGCTTCTCTCCTCCTTGGATCGCATAGCATCACCTCTACCCTCGTACAACCGCTCAGGCAGCATTCTAACACAAGAACAATATAGATAATCAATTTTTGGATTATCTACACTTGCTGCGCACTTGGACGGAATGGGCTGATCAGTAACTTGAAAAGATAAAACATATATCTAAGTCAGGCATATCTTAGCGATAGTCGTTGCTTGAAAAAAATATTCTGCAGACAGATAAACCTATCGCGCAGTTTGATGTCGCGCCTTTTGATACAGATTTGCCGATGGTGCATAGCAAGCCTACCGCAAGAGTCTATGATGAAGAGTTGAGCCACAAAAGATGTGTTTTCAGAGAATCTTCATTACCAAACGAACAATAGTTGACTATGCCTATCGATGGAAGGGTATTAGGCATGGCAAAGCTTGTCGACATCACTATGAAGGTGTAAAAGTGTACAAAACGCGACCGAGTTGACGATCTTTAATACATAAAGGATCAATGCGAACATGATTAAACATTGATAAACATCAAGTTTGATGTGACATTTCACTAACATGGAAGTTAACGCTATTCAGATTTCCGATCAAAGAGGCTAAAGGATCAATCAACAATATACTTTTGCATGAAACTTGCTCTCTTACCTCCCAACTTGGCTCCTTGATCCTTGAGAATGACTTTTACCAGCCATGGCCCCAACCTGGACGTCCCCATCCCCAACCTGGACGTCCCCATCCCCAACCTGGACGTCCCCATCCCCAAC